TATATATATATATATAAAAGATGTACAATCGGTTGATAATGATGCGGCAACGTCTGTCTGAATTTGGTAGCAACAAGAACCGCCGTTAAGGGGGCAAAGATCAGAGAGAGAAAAAGCGAAAAAGATCTGTGAGCGATGTCAAAAGATGACAGCGATGTGGATGACGGTGCTCGGCTGGCTCGCTGATGACTTGTGTAATAAGTGGAAAGAATCTTGTCTAGAAACAATAACTCGTTGCCTTTCTTTGAACTTGAATTGCAGTTGTTGCATGTTGCATGTTGCATGCAGTCAGCTACAACAATAACAACAACAACAAAAACAACAACAACAACAGCAACAGAAGCAACAACAACAATAACAACAACAATATGCGAGTTAATGATGGTCTCTCGACTGTTGGCTAGTAGATCGCTCTCCGCGGCTGGCTGGTTTAGCCAACTACTTGGTTTGCCTGCCTGACTGTTCTGTGCGCCTGTTAACTTGGCCATGAAACATTCGATGCTTGGGCGAATTTCACAACCGGCATCGGGAAATTGTGAAAAAGTGAGTTGAAAGACACAAATACACACACACACATTCACTTATACAAATATAGACCTAGAGTTGTGAAGCGAGAGAGGGAGAGTGAGCGAGGTAGCAAGAGTGGGCTACGTGTTTTTCTTGTTTTCTTTTGCACCGCATCTACGCGATCCAGTCTGCTTAAGTCCTCTGCGCTCCTAAATTACTCAGTGCTCAGTGCTCATCTGGAACTTGTTTTCTTCCCATATTTGTGCGTGGCGTTGGTGTCAGCGTCGGCATCTCAACCGCAAATCCTTTCGGATATGAATTGAATTCATATTTTATTTATGATCTGTTTATTTTTATTGTGCATGCCACATGATCATCATCATGCTGATGATAATGACGTTTCTGTTGGAAATTGTTGCCGGCTCTTGACTTTTGGCATGGTGAATGCTATGCCTGCCAGAAATGAGAAAACTTCTAATTGGAATTTCTAATCAAGTTGGAGCAATTTTAGGTGATTCGGTCTCGAGGAAGTGTTGGCCACGGCAACAGCTGATGGATTGTGGTAAGGCCATAGGCGAATAAGCAGCTGAGAGCGGGATAGACAGAGGGAGGCACATTTACTAAAAAAGGGATATATTACGATTATAAGAGAGAGGCAGGGGAAAAAGGAAATCGAAAGATATGTAGAGGAATGGAACGACCGAGAAAAAGGGAAAGTTAAAAATATAAAATATACAATTATTAGATTATCTAGAATATGACAGCTTAAAATGCTTGCAACTATAATAAATGTCAAGCTAACGGCAAGCATACTTATATTATACTTCAATCTTTATGGAATATAGAATACGCCTATAGCTTAGCATCAGCAATCTGGCAACTCTGTTTGCTTTGCAAGTGATCTGTCCTTTGCCCAGCATTGTCTGGCGTTGCTGTGACTAGCTCTATTCTTAGCGGCCAATATTCAGTTCATCCGCCAATGGCCACGACTGCGTCTTTTACGACTACAGACGGGGCGCCCCACACGACGATTCACAAACCAAATCGTTGTTGTGGAAGTGCGAGTGATGGAGAGAGAGACGAACGGGGTATGGTAGATTTGTGTGCGCCTTGATTGCCTCACCGCGCAGCTTGACAAGCCGCTGCTCCTTCAACCCGCAGAACCTGCTCGGCGCCTACTGCCCTTTGCGCCTCCTGCTGCAGTTCCATTTTCCGCTGGAGCAGGAGCACATGGCCTTAATAGTTTCTTACTATGTGTAGTATGTGTATTTTTGCCGGGACATGGCGCAACTGTTGGTTACTACGATTATTATTGTTGTTGACATGCCGTTCCACACTGACAGCGGGACAATTTAGAGGCTCTTCGCTTTTTCCGGCCATTCCACGACTATCCCACAATAGTAGGCGCCTACTTAGCCCAATCCCAGATCCAAGTGTCTGCCATGCTTGGACAGCTGTCCGGGCAGTCAAATTTCAAAGCAATTAGACCGCCAACTGATCGCAGCTCACATCTTCAATCGAATCGCATCGTATCACAGCTTCTAGCTGCTTATCCCAAGTGTAAACGGAGGCAAGCACTTGAGTTTTGATGTGTGGCACTTTTCTGGTGTAGTGGCAATCGGAAAACTGCTTTCTAATGGCGCTACAGAGACTCGACCTAAGCGCTTTTCCGGCTCAATTCGAAAAAGCATTTAACTCAAGAGCAGCAATTTAGGTATTTCATTCTCTACCAGAAATAAAGAACTTGTTGGAATCTTTTTCAGAAAAGTCTATATCTTTTTGATTTTCAACAGGTTTTCGTATAATTTTTGCTAAAAAAATTTTTGAACGTGTATAAAAAGAATGGGTAGGATTCCTCTTAAATTATGTGAGAACCGTAAGAAAGGACAAGAACTAGATGATTAAGACAGTTGTCTGGATACATTTTTAAAGAAAAGTATTTGGTAATTTCCCAGATTCTCATTTATTTCAATTTGAAGGAAAAGAAAGACTTTGCCTGCCTTTTAACTTGCATATGAGTTAGTTTGTCATAATCATTAACTCGCGAACAAATGCAAGAGAATATACATTCTCTTAAATTTATTATTGTAATATTTACAAAGAGCCAAAAAGAAATGAAAATTTTTGTTTTTGGCTTGCCAAAAATATTTTCATTATGAAATTGACGCTCGAGATGAGAAAACAAATGAGAGCAAAATCCGCAGTGTGTGTGTGTGTGTGTGTTGGGGTGTATGTGCCTATGTGTGTATTATGTGGAATGCAATTAAAATGCGCGCTGGGTCGGATAATGCTGCTATATACTTATATGTACTTATACTATCTGGCACATGCGAGCAGTTTAGTATGCAAAAAGCGAGAGACGCAAACAGCAGCAGGAATGAAATCAGAACGGAAGCTGAAACAAGTAAATGCTGTCAAAACATAGGTTGATTGACTGGAAGATACTTCGTACAATAGAGAATAATGTCATGATGAAATTATGATATATATGTATCAGAGATATTCTTAAAAGTGCTTGATAAGAATATATCGAAACTTATCGACTACTGAGCTGAAATTTATGGGAAGTAATTTATGAAAGACTGGTATGCCTCTTTTGATTTAAACAAGTCCCTAGGGTATACAAAGAGTTAAACAGTTTAGCGTCGCTAGCCGCGTTCGGCTTTAATGATAATGAAGATTATGCCGCTGTATTGGAGCGCCAGGATGAGCACGAGGATATGCGGATGCGAAAACGAATGCGGATGCGGATGTGAATGGGGATGCTGTTGCTGGTGATGATGTGCTGGTAGCCAACGTAGTTGTTGTTGTCGTTGCCGCTGCTGCTGCATGTGGAATGAAATTGAAGCTGTAGCTGAAGCTGAAGCTCTTGTGCGTTGTTTTGGAAGCGGCAAAGCTGCTCGCGGTTCTGGGGCTTGGGACTGCCGCACAGCTCCCCTCAGTAATTCTTTCTGCTCCGGCATCCTACAATCCGCATCCCCCTTTTCGCCTGGCAGTGAGTGCAACTTCAACAACTTCAAGTGGCCTCTTAACGGGAACCGTTTCGCATTGCATGCTGGCATTTTAGCATATTGCAGCACAGTGGAAAAAAAATGATGTAAACAAATTTCAAAGAAAACAATTTGGATAATTACATTATTTTGATGAAGAGCTACAGTTGCATGTGCAAAAATAAGCTGACGACGAGTGCAGAGAGGGAAATAGAGAGAGAAAATGAGAGAGAAAGAGAAAGAGAGAGAAAGAGAGAGAGAGGGATAGAGAGAGGCGAGCCTGACAGGGGAGAGACAGTTAGGCAAGAGGAACCATAATCACTTTGCTGTGTGGTCGTCGTTCAAGACAGATAATTCAAAGTGTGGCAGGTTCGTTAGCATATTGCAAGGTTGATTAAGCTGAAGACTACGTAATAAGAAACAGAACTGGTATATCAGCTTGCTTCAGTTCAGCTTCAGTGAGTAGATATAACAATGGCTGTTGCGACTGAGGCAGAACTTTAATTGAGCTAGGCTTTTGTAGAAAAGTATTTCAAATAAGCAAATATTGGTTTTGAAGTGTACTGCGCAAGGTCTGCGACCCTACTCCTTTTCGTTTATTTTTGGCACCGTTTAGATGCAATCAACACGAATAACCGAATTACCCACAATTTTTCGTGGGCTTCCTTTGTTGCCTTTGCCTTTTGGCTAGGCGCTGCCACGCTCAGCCCCCGCCAAAGGCAACAGCTCATGGTTTCACATTAAAAGCAACAACGGCAACAACAAGAGCTGCAGCCACCACAATAATAACAGCGACTGTGGTACACAGCATTTGATTACGTAGCCCATTTCCATTTGGCCATTTTTCGTTCGACACGCCTCCGCATCTGCCTTAGAATCAGACGCCGTGGCTGCTGATGTTGCAGTTGCCTCTTCTGCAGGTTGCTCAATTCAATTGCAAAAATCGTCAAATATTGCCGGCGGGCGTCAATGTATTCAATTATTATTATAAGCTTTGCCTCTCTCTGATGCTCTGTTGCTGCCTGCTGGCTATTGCCTGCCGCCACCTCCCCTTGGACTGTTTTGGGAGCTGGAATTGATTTGGTAAATTGCTAGGAAAGCCGTGCGAATGGCCAAAACAATTTTCCAGCATTTGCATAATTGTCCTCTGTTGTGAAAACGGTTTGACTTTGTAAACGTGTCTTTTTCGATTCCTTAATGCATATCGTTAGCATTTCATTAAGGGCGTGTCCCACTCCCTCCCTAAATATTGTGTTAATATTTAAATGTATTTGGCTCATAAATAAGCCAATTGGATGTTATTTAGATCAGTTTATATGTGGCTGCGAGTCATCGAACGACAACTGCGGATTCGCCTTGGTCTTTCGTTCTCTTTTAATTGCCCACGAAATACAATAAAAGTTCAGCTTAAACAGGTTTTACTTTCTACCTGTGACTGTTTTTGTTTTGTTTTTGTTTTTTTTTTTTTTTCGATTCCCCTACATTCGTCGATTTTCTGTGGTCATTTTGACATATTTTCTACCTGGCCGTCAGGTGAGTTTGTTTTATGCCTGTCAAATTTGCTGCTTATCAGCCTTTGACTTATCTATCTGTCCTTCTGTCTGTCAACGTGCCAGTCTATTGCTCACAGTGGACGTATGGATGCTCGACGGGTGCCTCCAAAATGCAGTTGCTCCTCTTATCTCGAGGGAGCACCTAATTGGCTGCTGACGTCCGATAAAGTTGATAAGGAATGCAACAAAATATATGTACACCGGAGGGCTGCATTCAATTGAGTTGTTAAAGTTTTACGGAAAGAGGCTTAAGTTTTATGTTTAATTAACAACTTATCGAAGCATTCTGTGAACGATCTTAACAACTGTTCAAATGTTTGAGAAAGATATAAAGATAGAGACTTCGAAATGGAGCAGTTGGAAATTAATGAAGATATCACTTGAAAACTGATTATGTGGAAAATAGAACCAGGAACGAGAACAAAATTGATTTTCTATTATTTCCTCTTACTTTGTTTGCTTATACTAAATTGTACTATATTTACAAATTGATTTAGCTAAAATTAAGGGAACCTGTAAAAGTCCTAGCGCCCAATAATATTTCTTAAATCTTCTACTATGCATGAGCTTCTCATGTCCAACTACAGTCTACAGTCTACACAAGCACACACAGAAACGCACACTAGAGCACTCCTCGTAGTCACGCTGTTGACATAACTTCAGCTCATTTCTGTGACACGACAAGTTTACAGCGCTGTCTGTGTAGTTGAAGTCATTTGGTTTAATTCGTCTGTCCAAATTGCTATTTATATGCATCGCCCTCGCTTTTAATTTGTGCTGCAAATCACGAGGTCCCCATTCGAGCTCTTTAGCCTGCAAGAGGCTAAGTGGCTGGCTCCGGCCGGGGGCCCAATCTGCAAACAAAATCAACAGGTGGCGGCGCATATTTCAACATAAAGCTGCCAGCCAAACCGAACCGACCGAAATATCAATAAAAATGCCTTTGCTGCGATTTCGTCGTGCCACAAAACGGACTGAGAACTGAGAACTGAGAGCTGCCGGCCACATAGATAATTTTGCAAGCATGACTCGAAGCTCCACTAGGGTTCTGTCTTTATCTAAATATCCTAACAGAAAGTTGGGGTGCATTTCCGCGTAGACTCTGTATGAGAGGAATGTAAGACGTTCATAACATGGATATGCAGAGTAAAACATAGTAATCATACTTAAAAGGCATTGCCATTTAATATTTATTTAAAATAACATAATCTTCCAAAATTTGTTTATGTTATTTCTATTTACTTTATTAATATTGTCTCGTATTAACCTACATAAAACGTAGCTAACTACGTTTTAAAATGTAGTGTATTCAAGGTTCGTCTTCTTTGATATAAAAATGATTCTTAATTTGGTTTTCTATTTGTTGTAGTTGTTGTTTGCATTGCATTTAATTTATTGGCAACACTTTGCTCGGCTGCTGCATTTAAACGACAAGTGTTGCAAAGAAAAAGGCAAAATTAAAGCGGCGCAAATTAAAAAAAATAGTAGGGAGCTGGCAACTAGCTGGGACGTCAACACTAGAGGGGCTCAAAGTGCCAGCAAAAGAGAGAAAACTTGTTTGCAGCTAAAAAAGTATTAAAAAATCGCACAAGCCACACTCTGCTGTTGTTGCTATTGCTGCTGTTGGTACTGCTGGTGCATTCAGCAAGTGACTTTGGCTTCGCTTGGTCGTCGCTTAATAAAGGCAATGAGCTGAACAAACGCGGCGGGGTGAGCTTTTAACGCCAAAGGCCAAAAGTGTTGGCAACACAAACAAATAAAAAGCATTGTTGCTGCTGTTGCTGCTTGCGCACACCAGCAACATGTGTAGCAAAAAGCCCAAAATGAAGACATGAGCCGCAACAAGAGCAACTGCAGCAACGATGACGACCTTCTTTTGTAAACGCGCGCTACATAATTGCAACATCCAAAGCAGCAAAGCTAACGAGTTCGGTACGGCCTTTTGTTACCATGTGTGTGTGTGTGAGTGTGAGTGTGAGGTGTGTTGCATTTGCCTCTATGCCACTGACAGTTGAGAAATTAGAACGGTTTTTTGGTCTCTGCAAATCACATGCACGTGCGTCCTATGCGTTCTATGTGTAATTGGCAGCTGTTGCAGGTGTGTAAAAAGAGTGCTGCTGTTGCTGCTGCTGCTGGTGGTGTTGGTGTTGCTGATGTTGTCCGAGGTCAGCGGCAGCTGCAATCAGTTGGCCACACAGACATGCCGAGGCAATCATTGAGCCCTGTCAGGGTGTGTTTAATCAATGTTGCATTTACCTTTTTATTGTCGTACACCTCTGCACAACCTAAGCACCTCCACTTGTCCCCATCGCTCACATGTTGCTCATGTCGCAAAAGCATTAACGTCGGCCCATTTGCACAAATCTTAGTCGTCGTCAGCGTCAGCGTCATCATCGTCGTCGTCGTCGTCGTTAGTGTTGCAGCCATGTTTGCTGTAGTTGTTGTTGTTGTTGTCGTTGCTCATGGCCAGGCCTAAAAGTCTCGGCTTTGTTTCTCGGACTGCGTAGGTGGATATTGGCGCATGTTACTGTTGCTGCCAGCAGCCCTGCGGGCTCTTGCTGTTGCTGTTGCTGTTACCATTGATTATTGCCCCTCGTTCGATGCGTATAAATCGCAACGCTTAAATCTCCGCTTAAACTTGTAAATTAAAACCTTAATGAGACTGTACGAATTGCTTTGGCTGTTCTGAACGTCGGCAGCCCATGCTGTGTCGAGCTACACGCATTGCTCAACTAAAATTTATGCTCCTCTGCTTCGTATGTATCTGAACATTTTCCATTTTATTTGGAAGCAATAAGAAGGCATTGACTCACATTGAAGTGTGTGCAGGGAGGAAATAATATTTTAAGAATTCTCATGCCAAAATGAAGTTGAAATCGTCCATGATATTTTTGGATACAATGGGAAGAAAGTATTTTTCTCTCTTTTTGAGAAAGCTTTAAATTAAGTATCGTTACTCAGACTAAAATACGTTGAACTTATTTTAAATAAGCAAATTGTTATTTTAAGCATTTTGCATATTGAAAAATAATAGTTTGCATGCAAATGCCTTTAATTATAAAGCAAGCATTTCTGCTACTGTCAGATTCAGAAAGCGGCAATAGTTGTTGCTGCAACTGTGCAGCTGCTACTCTTACTGTTGCTGTTTTTGCTGCAGAAGGAGCCAATAGCGTGTCAGCTGACACGTTTTTAATTTTCAGGCAATTAGTTTTTTGTTTCTCTGCTATCCAATGCCAATCAGGGGCCACAAACACACACACGAAAACCCCCTGAGTTTGGTATGAATCAGGGAGCAGGTGGGGCTGGGATGACTGGGAAGTATTGTATAGTATCTTAGCCTACCCGCATTGTCGATTAACTTAAAATGATTTCATTGCTAATTAATGCGCTGTGAATTTTCTCACGCTTCGCCAGCGAATACTAAAAACTTGTTATTCTCCTTCGACCGCACTCAGGCAGCAAAGTGTAACACACACTAAAGAGTCTTTTCATTTATTTTTTCATTTTTTGCCATTCTTTGCCTGACTTCCTCAACAAGATTTGCATAGTTAGTTAGTCGCATGGCAGCTTCATTCAATTAAATGGATTGTTGTTTGGCCAAGCTCTCGCGATTAGATGATTACAGTAAATGTTTTAATTAATTAGTTATGCATTTTGCTGCATAACATACCAACCTTTTAGATAGGAATGCGCTTTATAACTCGGCTATATCCGTTTCGAAAGTGTCAACAGCTGCAGCAACAGGTTTTCCAAGAGTTCCACAGACCGCCGTAATGTTAATTCCTAATATTAATTAGTTTCAGCTA